TATGCACAATTGTCATGATTTTTTGTGTTTACAGTATGGTGTTTTTTCTATTACTGTATTGTGTTTTGTTTTTTGTTTTTGCTTTATCTGAATGCATGGTACTGCAATGTACAATATTGAGTCCTATTGGCTTTTTTGGTTGTTTGAAAATGTGTCTCCTGAAAATGTGCCTTCTGAATAAACAATGAACGTCAAAGACTGCAGTGTTTTATATAAAGTAGACTAGTGGGTTCCCCCTGATCTGTAAGTGTTTGCAAATGATGCAAGTATGTGTCACTTTGTCAACAGAGTTACATTTTGACAAAGGACTGTTAGGTTTTGACAGCAGAGTTTAGGTTTTGAGAGTAGAGTTTCAATTTGGTGCAGATGTGAATGGTATATTTCCCAGTGTTGTGTCATGTTTACTTGTGTTTGGAGTTTTGGCACAATGAGCGAAGTTTTGCAAAATGTGTTCAAGCAACGGGCAAAAACTGTAAAACAGTTCTGCAAAGAAGAGTGGGACAAATTTCCTCCACAGTGATGTGAAAGACTCATCGGCAGTCATCACAAATGCATGATTACAGTTCTTGCTGCCATGGGTGGGACAACCAGTTATTAGGATTAGGGAGCAATTATGTAAGTAGCTTTGGACAGCCTTTTCCCCTTAATAAATGAAATAATGAAACTGAACTGAACTAAATTTTACATTTACTCAGGTTATGTTTGTCTAATATTAACATTTATATGTTTTCCTGAAACATGCAATTATGACAAATATGCAAAAAAAAAAAAACCCCACTAAGAAACCAGTAGTGACCTCTGGTGGGTGAAAGGATTAATTATTATAGTCTTCACTATCACTGGAACAGATAACTTAGGTGAGAACATTACTGACGCACTGCCAGTAATAACAGTAACAACCATTGTGTTTTTAACCCGTCCACTGAAACCTTAAGTCAGTTTTAGTGCCAGTTTAGTGCACCTGATTACAGTTTTTGCCCGTTGCTTGAACACATTTTGCAAAACTTCGCTCATTGTGCCAAAACTCTAAACACAAGTAAACATGACACAACACTGGGAAATATACCATTCACATCTGTGCCAAATTGAAACTCTACTCTCTAAACCTAAACTCCTCTTGCATGTCGAAACCATCCATGGATTGCTGTCACCTGAATGTCGCCGCAGGCCTGTTCCATTGCCTGCAGAAGAGGCATGCGGGCATGTGGTTGGCGGTCATATACACGCCATCTCCAGGCCGAAAACAATTCCTCTATAGGGTTTAAAAATGGTGAGTAAGGGGGGCAAGTATACCACTTCAAGTTGGTTGCGGTTGGAGAACCAGGCCTGGACCAGAGCAGCCCGATGGAAACTGACATTATCCCATATCACCACAAACCTGGGCTGATCTGCTCTGTTCTGTACAACTATATTATGGAGAGCATTTAGAAATGTGAGTATATGTTGGCTATTGTATGGACCTAGTTTTGCATGATGATGCAGAAGCCCTCGAAGGCTTATGGCGGCACACAATGGGATATTTCCCCCGCGCTTCCCTGAGACGTGCACAATTGCCCCTTGGCCAATTACATTACGACCCCGTCGTCTTGTTTTGCACAGGTCAAATCCAGCTTCATCAATGAAAATGAATTCATGAGGCTGTGCAGCTCCATCCATGGCCAAGATTCTCTGAAAAAAAAAGAGAACATATTACTGTACTACAGTGCTACACATACAGAACCCTCACCCCATCACACAGGTACCTGTGTAGCTCTCAGAATGGATCCATGTGGTACTGATATGGTACATATTCAGCTGCTACTGGATTTCACCAATACTGTATTGTACATGTAAAGGATAGTTACACTTACCCGTACATATTCAGCTCGAAGTCCTTTGACCCTGTCACTGTTCCTCTCAAATGGGACTCTGTAGAGCTGCTTCATGGTGATGCTGTGTTTTCCCAAGATGCGTGTGATGGTGGTGATGCTCACATGGTTTATGTTGTTGAACACTTGCCTGTCTGCAAGTATTTGCTTTCGTAGCTGGTGGAGACGGATGGCATTGTCTGCCCTCACTAGGTCCACAACGGCAAGGTCCTGCTGTTGTGTGAACAGGCGTTGGCGTCCTCCCCCAGAAGGTCTTCGAGTCATTCTAGAGAAATACAACCACATATTGTCATCGCTTTGCTTATTTTTCTTACAGTACTTTACTGTATATACTGTATCATCCACTGTACAACACTGTACTTCAATATAAGTAATCATGGTATGTTTCACAGAAACTACCACTTTGGCTGCAAAAGGAGCATTAGCACCCTGCAATACCCTGTACACTTGATATGGTAACTGTAGAACAGTACTATAAAAACCATCTGAGTAGAGTAGAAGGTAGAGAGGTGAAGACAGACCTGTTTTCTAGTCGGAATGTTCTTATTACAGATGCCACTGTGAAGACATGGTCCATCAAAGTTGCTCTTATATCATCAGAAATATGGGTCTGTGCATGGCCTCTTCGACCTCCTCTTCGACCTCCTCCTCCTCCTCTTCCTCTTGCTCTTCCTCCATCCATGCTTGCAAAGTTCTTGAATTGGCTAAACTGAGGGCTTTTTGTAGTTGGCTAATTGGTGTTCAGTTTTGCAAGTAAGGTCCTTCAGGCGTGTATTTGAGTGGTTGCAATTACCCGATGTGTTTTCTATTTTGGATACATGTGTTTTCCAAATGGCACCCTGAAATGTCATTTTGTGAACGAGGTGTCTTATGTATGAAATAGAGTGTAGTATGCAGGACCATGTGTGTTGCATACAGGAGTAAGTGTGTTGCATAATTGCAACTATAGGGTGCAAAGCAGCGCTTTTGTTCAAGGTATGGGTACATGTGTTTGAGGTATGGTAACAAAAGCTTCAAGTTGTGTTACTTTAGTCTAAGCATGGGTTTATAGTGTTCAAGCAACAGGCAAAAACTGTAAGCAGGTGATCATGTGCCACAATGCTTGGTGCAGCAGCCTGGGTATGATTCCTTTCTCTTCTACTTTTCCGTCTGAAAACTCTTTGGTACTAAAGGTGGAAAAACTTTAATAGGGCTTTTTAATAGGAATTTTTTTTTAATCTAAAGGATACAGCGAGAGCGACGCCAGGAATTGGCTGATGTGATCACATCTGATAAAACCGATAAAAGTCCACTGCCGTGTTTTGAATTCATAAGCAGGAGGGAAGTGTCGTTTCTTTACTCCGAGGGGTTTTGTCCCATTCATGGCCCGATCATTATTATCATACCTGTTGCAAAAAACATTTTTTATCCACTTCCCTAGAACCAAACTATGATTCAAAAGTCAAAGTCAGAACCACACAATGATTCTGGAGTTTCGTTTATTACTAACTTATTACTGATGAAACTCCAGGCCTTGAACATGGCTCTTGGTTGGTGCTACGTTGACCTTTGCAGACACATGTAGCTGTCAGGTGTCCAAATCTGTGGAAGAACTGGAAATGTAGGCTCCTTTTCTTCATGTTTCTGTTTGTGTTTATCCTTTAGCCTCAGTGCTGCACAGATGACTTTAATTCAGTGTGGGTAAAGCACTTCTTTGTAACAAAGTGAAACTGTTACAAAAAAAATGGTCTGCTGCCACCATTGTCTGAGCTTCATTTAATGTGTTGTTTTCCCTCACATGTTCCTCTTTTGTGGTCAGCTCTGTTGCCTTTGTTCCCTTTCATGTTCCAGCTTACTTTTCAAGTAATGGTAAATGGCCTGTATTTATATAGCGCTTTACTAGTCCCTAAGGACCCCAAAGCACTTTACACATCCAGTCATCCACCCATTCACACACACATTCACACACTGGTGATAACAAGCTACGTTGTAACCACAGCCACCCTGGGACGCACTGGCAGAGGCGAGGCTGCCGAACACTGGCGCCACCGGGCCCTCTGACCACCACCAGTAGGCAACGGGTGAAGTGTCTTGCCCAAGGACACAACAATTGAGACTGTCGGAGCTGGGGCTCGAGCCGGCAACTATCCGATTGCAAGGCGACCTCCCAACTCTTGAGCCACGATCGCCCCCAACAGTAAGTAATTATTTTATTGTTTTAACTGCTGGCCTCCAAGGAAAGTAATTAGAATATTAGTATTCAGTGTCAAGCGTACATCACGTTCATGTAAATCATGTATGTTCATGAGCCGCATACAACATACTTTGATCTTAAGCGGTCTTTCTGTCAGTGCAAAGTAGTTTAACTGCAAATTGAATTCCCGAGAGATCTCAGTATAAGAGAAGGAAGTGCCATTTCAACAGTACCTCTCAGTTTTGTTTTTTTACATGATAAAGAAATACTGCTGAAGTAAATGAAAGATGTTTGTCAGGGCTTGAGCTTAAATTGTAAGAAATAAATGTGTAAAATTACAGAAGTTTTTTGTTAAGTCATAGAAAATGTCCTATTTTATTTTATTTGATTTATTTTTGCTGTCAGCAAACTGCTGGAAAAGATCTTTCCAGAGTGCACAGTGAAAAAACAGGAGCTTTTCGTTTATTTAATTGTTCACCTATTACTTCAGTTTAGTGGTATGAATGGCTGTGGGGAAGGTCTTTATCAGTAGGACAGGCTGTAAAATTTATGAAAATACAGTTAAAGGTCCAACATTTATGCCCCCCCTCAGGCTTTATGTTTGAGGATACAAGTCGACATACAGCGGGGAAAGGAGAGTTTGTTCCTGGATCAAAATGGGCCTTTGTGGGCTGACTCTTTATGTAAGCATAACTGGTCTGCATAGTGATTCTGTATTGTGCTACTTAAAAGAAG